TGAATGTAAAATTATACGTTTACATCAGCCATACGAAGAAGAAGAAGACAGTTAAAATAAGCAGTGATACAATGCTTTGCAAAGTTTAATATTTCAAATCACTTTATTTTGTTTTCTAAAATTCTATGGTAACTAAAGCTGCTATATGCCATAGATTAAATCCTTTCCACATTTTCCCTTGTAATGAAAAAGCTGCATATCTAGATTGTGAATTAATTGCTAATGAATTTCACATTATAAGGCACATTTGAGATGTAAAAGTGCAAGAGGGTCAAAATGTAAAACATGAGTTTCTCACAGCCATCTAGTAAATTTCAGCATAATACTATGAATGGTGGTATATTAACATCATACTCTGAATGTTTGATGCCATATAGTTTGGCAATGTGAAATAGGGTCATTTTGTTTATTTCATCTATAATTCACACACAAACAGATATATTTGATACATATATTAAATACATTCTTTTTATATATTGTTTATTTATGACCAGATTCTGCTAGCCTTACATTAAATAGTACCTTACTCCATGAGCAGTCCTACTGAAATCATTGGTTTCAATGGGACTATGTGATGAGTGGGGTTCTATTCAATGTGTATTTGAGTAGGGCTAGTAGAATCAGACCCTTATTTATTTTATTATTTATTTAGCACCAAATTATGCCCTGGCTCGTAAAGCTGCACAGGGGAATAAGGAGGCACTAAATGTCCCCTTATTCCCTTACACAGGCTCCCCATGTGGGAAGAGCAGCCTATGTAAAGCGTCTGCATTTCTCCACCCTGCAGTTGTGAGCGGGAAGAGGTAGGGAATGGCAGAAGTGCCAGCCCACCCTAGTTTTCCGTAATCGTGTGGACCTGTTGGACTACGTTAACACGCTATAGGTATCTAGAGCATGTCAGCAGGTCCACACGGGGTAGTTAAAGCGCAACATGCAGCCTGTGGCTTGGGCAGTGAAACCCGTGCCCCAACCCATTCAAACTTGTCACAGCTTGCCTCTTATCAGTGCCCCAACCCAGGGACAAAATCAGCCAAAACCGCCACAAAAAACAAACAAACAAACAAACAAAAAAACCCATGCAAAATGGTGTCAGAAGTGCTTGCAAAGGAATGAGTATACGGCCAATATCATGGTCACTCCTCGTCACAGAAGTTGATGTTACTAAATGTTACTCCAGTTTACCTCTGTTATTACTCTACCATGCATCTAAAATGCACCACAAGCGTTCAAGCCGCTACCCCAGGCCAACTGTGTATATTTGCCCTCATACCTTTGGCACTTGCTGCTGCTCCAAGCAATTTCCATAATTCCTCCCTAATTTTTTCATAAATGTCCCTAAAAGTCTCAGAGCAAGGATGGTGTCTCTGGAATGGAAGATACCTTGGTTCCATCGTGTCCCAATATGCCAGCTGGCACAGCTGCACCGGGGCATGTGTGTTGTGCTAGGAGTAGATTCAGCACAGTGTACTTTTGACTGCTGCCCCACTCCCACAAAGCAAGGGACAAATCGGGAAGTAGATTGTGACCCTTGGAGTCATGGTGTGTCTCCAGGTCTTCTCCTGGGCAGCACACTAATGTTTTGCCCCATACGTGGGGCTTGTGGCAAAGCCACACTTTAGCCTTATTTCCTAGTGCTTGGTTAATTTATATTTTTGAGACGTATAATGTGTTGAATGTTGGAATATTATGAAGTAATTTTTAATTTTTTTTAAGCTTTGGAGTATCCAAACCTCGATGTCTCAGAAACTACTAGAGACTACTGGGTGATTACAGGTACTTTTTTCTGTCTCAGGAGAATTGTTAGGACTCAGTCCTGCAAACACATCAGTGAGTAACTTCACACGAAAATGAATAGTAGTCACATTGAACATGTCCCATTGCATATAGCAGGACTATTCACCTATTTATAGCTACTCCCGGGCACAGCTGTGATTTTTTCCAGCTTCAGTGGTGGCAGTCTCCTGTGTCTAGTACTTATATTTTATGTAGGTCTTGGATTAAAATCTGAAATTCAAAGAAGTTTGGATTCAAGCCCAGAAAAAATGAATATTTGTAGAATGTAACAAAGTTTGTGATGACTCACTTGCTGTCTCTGGATCAAAGAGTTTCTGAATCTGAACTTTATATAACTTTAGTACATCAGCAGAGAATGCTAATGATCTTCACAATACTGTATTTACAGTGTAATCATATTCACTATTAACAGATGTAGTGGAGCATAAGCTTTCGTGGGTGAATACCCACTTCATCAGACGCATGTCCATGCATCCAACGAAGTGGGCATTCACCCACAAAAGCTTATGCTCCACTACATCTGTTAGTCTTAAAGGTGCCATAGGACTCTCTGTTGCTTTTTACAGATCCAGACTAACACGGCTACCCCTCTGATACATATTCACTATATCACACTCCTACTGAGAATCTTTTTTACACTTAGAAGTCATAGGTGGGCCAGTAAAGTTTTTTTGGCATCTTTGATCCAATAGAAAACTAAATTTCACAATATCATTGTGTCAGTACTTGGAATCCTTACTAGTAATTCAAAAGAGAAAATAAAAAAAACCTTACATGAAATGGATCAAATTCTATTGTACACCCCCTGTGATTTGGTATCCTTGTTCAACTTATTTATGTTACATTGTGATGTTTTTGAGATGAAGACTTACCCTTATGTAAAAGATTATCGCAATTCATCACAGGCCTGATCCAAAGCCCATTGAAATCAATGGAAAGACTCCCACTGACCTTAGAGGGCTTTGATCAGATTCAATGAGCCTGATGCTCCAGTTCTTGCAGACACAAAATTCCCATTGACTTCAGTGGGATACTATAGATATTCTAGTTTTTGAAAACATAACTCCAACTGCCAGGGTAAGCCCTTTAAATTTTTGAAATGACTTCAAAAATACAACAGAGGGTCCTGTGGCACCTTTGAGACTAACAGAAGTACTGGGAGCATTAGCTTTCGTGGGTAAGAACCTCACTTCTTCAGATGCAAGTCTTTTTACAGATTCAGACTAACACGGCTACCCCTCTGATATTCAAAAATACAGTGAACATGTATGAATTATGTAAAGTATACTGTATATGCTTTACAATTTATTGGACTTTATTAAATCAAACATGTGTATTCACAAATCATTCAGTGCCCTAGAACACAGAATGTTTTGTCAAACTGAATCCTGTAGAATTTCAATTTCAGATTTACAGACTCTTGGATGAAAAACTGTCCCTTTACCTGACAAATGCATATAATTGTCCTTTGATAACCTTCTTGAGGCTTGTCTGTTCTTATGCTTTTCATTTAAGGGTTTACTTTTATTTTGCATTGAAGCTTGGTGTAGATGTAGAGATACTCAAAGACCTTTTCGTAAACCGAAAAGCTGAGAACACTGTTGGAGGATTTTATTCTCTGTATGTAGAAATGTAGCTGACAGATTATCTGAGAAAAACAGTATAGTGGCTGGAAACAGAAAGTCATGTTATACCCACAATGGAAATTATTTAGAGTGTGTAAATTTATCAGGTTGTTTTTCTTCTAAACTAGCTTGTACATCTTTGTCAAATACACCATTGCAGCCATGTATTATTTAATCCATCCATGCTCAATCTGCTGATATGAGATTTTCTCCATTGCCACAGTTATACAAGGGGTCGACATTACATTACTGGGACTTAACAACCAAAGCTTTGCAAGACTAATGGAGCAGCGGCTGGCCCCACTGTTCGTGATGTCCCATCAACAAGGAAGGCGATTTAAACGCGCTACTACTGTGGGCAGCTACACTGTGCAGGTGATCAATAGGATACAAGTTGTATCCAGATAGTATTTCAAAAAGGCTTTGGGTGCATAGATACTGCATGGATTGTTGTGCAAAATAGTTAATTGGAATGAGTTTGGACATCCTTATTCATGAATACCAAACCAGCGTGAGAGTTGTGCAGGTCATCTCAAAGGAGTTTCTGTTTCCAAAGTCAGGCATGTTTTCATGTTTCTTTTCTCTTTGGAAATAGACAGTGGTTGCTCTGCAGTAGGAAATATTTTGCTCTCTGCTTACTATATATGTTTATGTAGCAGGCAAACTTTAGTAGAAAGAGTCCAGTAGTTAAATTAACTTCAGTAACAGCTTTGCTATATTCTCAGAAGTGAAGAGAATTTCTATAGGTCTTCTTTCATATGTCTGACACAATAAGTAAAAGTTGTATCTGATTTATGCATTGTGATGAGATCCTGTGCAAAGCAGTCAGGGATTTTTTAAAATTAAATTTTATTTGTTTTTTAATATGGCCTTATTCTGTGCAGGGACACAGATCACATTCTGAAATGAGGGTCTCAAACCTGAACATTTTACTAATGAATCAGACAAATTACTGCATTGTGAAATGACCTTTGTCGTTTCTTTGGTGAGATTTCAATTCCCAGTCAGTATTTTCCACTAGAGCTTATTTTGTTTCTACACCAAAGTTATCCAGCTGCCCTACTTTCATGTAATTCAAAATTTTCAGCCTGCAAATTTTCAAAAGCTAAGTTGTCAGTTTTCTGCACCTTTCTCCAAACTTCATTTACTGTGAAATATTTTAAAAAATGACTATTTTCTAGTATTTGCATTGCACATTTCTCTGTGTTCCCAATATGAAACAATTAAAAGGGGGGGGGGCATTTTTATTTGATAAAATTGTGAATCTTAGGAAAATGTTACATGAAAACATTAAGTCCATAACAAAAGCAAAAAAGAAAAATCTCTTTCTTTTTCATGTGATTATAAACATTTAGCAAAACTCCACTTAACATAGGAAAGATAAAGAGGTCACTTTCAAACCTCTGCCAATATGACAGAACAAAACCAAAAGGGTGTTTTTGTTTGCTTGTGGTGGGTGCAAGGATTTGTTACCCACAGAATACCAGCAAAGTGTAATTTTAAATAAAAGCACATTTAAATTTCTCTCTGTTTAATTGCTTTTTTCATGGTGCAGAAGCAAGTTGACAACAGGACTACACTGTAGAGACCCCAAAAAGAGTTGACATTTTGTTTGCTATTTTACTTTCTTTTTTCCCTGCCTTTGTTTTCTAGTCTAGGGATTTCAAATTAGAAATATTTTTAAAAAGATTCATATAAAGGTTGTCAGGAAGGACTGCTGTATGCTTGGTAAACAAAGCAGTGCTATGAAACAATGTAAGGACCTGAAATCCTATGAGAAGTTTTGCATTGAGTTGCACTTGTGTGGCATGTTAATGGGATTCTTGACAGATGCAGAGGTCTGCCTGGAGGTGGCTCTGTGCAGAATCAGGATCTAAGTGATGGTAAAATATAAACATGGCTTCTGTCTCTTTCTCTCTCCTTTTATTATAAGATGGTAAAAATGCAGCGTATTCCAGGACCCAAGGAGCCCGCTGAACTGACTTACTATACATTATACAACAGGAAACCTCTGCTGGGAACTGTAGCTGCCAAAATGTTGAGTACTGTTGATTCTCAAAGGATGGCCTTGACGTTAGGTTATGTCATCCAAGTACAAGCTGATCGTAAGAATCCTTTTCTTGATTTTTCAATCCCCAGTTTTAATCACATTTATTGTTATTTCTCACAACGAATATTCAAATGCAACATTAATTATGGGATGTGCTCATTAACCCACACTCTATAATTTCAAAGGCACTTGTTTTAGTAAAATCTTCAGTCAGGTGGCACTTGCTGCGTACAAAAGAATAGCCATTCCATCTGTTTGGATGAAGCCCTGACATTAGAGAAGCTACAAAGAACATTGATAGAAAAAGGAGAAATAATTTTAACAAATGATTAAAATATTGGCGATAAGCATGAGAGGAAGTCAGAAAAATGGCTCAAAAGATGCAATATCAATTCCAGTGAGTACGATGCATCCTGTGTTTGGTCCTAGATTTGATCACGCTGTATTACTGATTTTCAGTCTTTGTTCAGCAGACAATGGAGATTTTTGACCCCTGTTTGCATAAATTACATTCCCTCAAATTCTAAATTACATTGTTTCCCATAAAGATGCTTCAGAGTGCCTTTCCTTCTAAAATGGCTGTAAATTAGAAGAACATACTGGCCTCTTCTCTTCTGTACATGCTTTTAAACTCTTGAAATGGATGTTGGAGTGACTATATGTTATTTGCAAGATTTGAGCTGACCTGACCTTGTAATTGCATGGTGTTATAAGGAGGCCTTGCTCATCTGTAGGTGTACGTATTCCATTTCCGTACCAGGTGAAGTCAAGGGTTTACAGAGTATCATTAAATGAAATTATGAGCTTGGATAGCTAAGATTCTCAGATTGGACGATTTGAGTGGAAGAGACAAAGCATCCCAGTACCTTGCTAGTAAAATAAAATATTCCCATTGCCTCATTTTGAACACAGTACAAGTATTTCCTTGTAATTACAAGAAAGATATTTTACAAATTCTTCATTTTGATGCATTGTTGTTTGTTTTATAGTAGTGCCTGGAGGAGCCCCATTGTGATAGGTGCTGCACTGATACATAGTGAGAGATAGTTCCTGTCCTAAAGAGTTTATAATCTGAGTAGACAAGACAGACCAAGGGTGGGAAAAAATATTATTGTCCTGGTTTTACAGATGAGGAACTGAGCCAGAGAGATTAAGGGCCTGAGCCAAAGCCCATTGAAGTCAGTGGAAAGACTCCTGTTGATTGGGAATTGATTCGCAAGTGACTTACCCAAATCTCTTGAGTCTCAGTCCTTTGTATGAACCACAAGATCATCCCTTTCTCTCTGCACTCTTCTGAAAGAACTGCACATTTTCCAGTGCTCATAATATAAACCTCTTCTACAATTGCTTGGGTAGTTGGTTATTAAAGTGGATGTTGTCAGGTAAAATTTGGACTGAAGACTTTGTTTTAAACACCCCAAACCAAAAAATAGTCCATAGTAAGATATTAATTTAATGACCTAAGGTCATTAAGTAGTGAACATTGCTTATTAAGAGGGACACTGTTGGTTAAAATTCAGAGTCTGCACTGTCTTTTTTGAGATCTAATTAAACATACTATTCCAGTTTAGAGTCTGTGCAAAAATATGCCTTTGAGCACCTGATTGCATTATTCCAGCATATTCAAATTACGAATGACTTCCAAGGAGGTCTGAGTGTCCAGGGATGACAGGATCAAGCCGCAGACAGGCTTTTAGCTAGTTATACTATGGTAATTACTGGTAGCCAGATGCTATACATTTAGGGCTTGGTGCTACCAGGGGCAAAGTGCCTTTGACAGCTAGTGGAGTCAGTGGCAGTTGAGGGTATTCATCATTTTGCAGAATCTGGTCCTTGGTATAGTTTGTTAAGTCAAATAAAAAGTGGAGTAAGTCTGTTAGAAATGTCACACTAGTATTTTCATAATCGCCTTTTCCATGCCAGGAGCCAGTGAGATAGGAAGATAAATACAGAATACAGGTTAAGCCTAATAATTTAATAGTCTAACAAAATTAAGAAACAAAATGTGGTGATTAGCATAAGCATTTGCAAAAAGAAATTAAATGAGAAAAAAGTGCATTTATTTCACAGCAGGATATTTAATATATACACTAATTAAATGTACTGTATATGCTGAGAGATTTAAGTGGCAATTTACTCAAATAAAATGGAATCTAGAATTTTAGAGTGCCCTCTAGGTAAACATGTTCTAACAAGTAATATAAGTTGAGATATGCATTAGTGCTGTGATGTACAGCATCTAGCATAGTGGGGTTTGTCCTAGGCACTATGGTAATACATTGAAATAATTCATATTCTGGTGCAATTATCAATATTTCTGAAAATGATTTTTCCCAGCCCCTATATTCCACTCCCCCCAAGTGCCGAATTTTGTCCTCTTTGTGACGCCCGTCCTCTGACTGCCAAAAAATCTATAGCACAACAGCAGCACTACAAAGGGACCAGTTTTGCCGATGTCAATGGCAAAACTCTCAATGAACCAGATCCTTAGCTGGTGTGAGTTGTCTTCAATTCATTGGCTTCAAAGGAGCTATGCAAATTTATAGCAGCTGTGAGTCTGCACCAATGTCTTTTGTAGGAGCCGGACCGGGCGCAATGTGCAAATTTTTAACACACAAACTATCTGAGTCCAAGCTCTGCTGGCTTTTTATTTTAGGAAAACATCTATCGCTTGTTTCATTCAACATTATTTTACTTAAATTTTGAAAGAGCCATTTGAGTGAGACCTCATCCAACTTCTTGATCTCAGTAATCAGAGGAGTGCTCTGCAGCTGTCTATCACTAGGAACATGGAATTTGAGAGAAGAGAGCTCAGGGATTGATCATAGAAGTCTGTTGATCTATTTGTATCATAGAAATTCCAACAAATTATTATAAGTAAATGAATAAATAATAAATCTTTTGTACTAATTGTTATGTGAAGACCATTTAAGGAAGTACCCAGCTAGTTCTTCTGTTGCTTTTACATAGTAACTGATGGTGGAACACTGACTCTCTCTGGCTTGCAATTTATGCAGCTGTGGTGAAAAACCCACCAAACAACCTGTGGATCATTGCAGCAGTGCTGGCTCCCATTGCTGTGGTTACGGTTATCATCATCATCATCACAGCAGTTCTGTGCAGGAAGAACAAGAATGATTTCAAACCAGACACCATGATGAACCTGCCTCAGAGAGCTAAAGTAAGTGTCTGTTCAAGCAGGAGATGTCTAGTCTCAGCACATTCATTAATTTTCCCAGTGTTCATTCTTCAGATCCTTTCCTAAACATGTTTAAAGGACATTTGAGACTTTAAATGGTCAGTACACTCAGGCTAGGACTTTCTCAGCTGTTACAGAACCTGTTTGCTTTTTCCTGGAATGAGATGAAAGACCTATGCCTCAGTTTCCCTTGGCTTTTTGCGTCTGCCCCCCCCACCCCACTTGAGACCTTCTGCCAAAGCAATCACCCTTCCTCCCTAGAAGGGCTAGACATCGGACTCTCCTTGGACCCCATAACAACTTCTGTCTAACCATACAGAAGATGGTTATTCCCTCCCACAGGACTAAGCATGCTTCACCCATGGCATTTGTCTCTTCTATCAATTGGGGAGCAAAAGATAAAAATGGAAATCAAACCTTGATCTGTTTCTAAGGTAGATTGTCACAGTGTAGCTGGTCCCTGTGAGTAGAACTGAGCCTAGCTCCCTGTGGAAGAAGAGGTGAGCCCAATCTAGCCAATAAAGGGGGTGGGCTGCCATAGGGCAGGAAATGTGAGATGGAAGATAGAGTGATTGGGACAGGCTCTCTTTGGGGAAGCCAAGCCAAGCCATGGTGGAGTGGAGTGGAGCGAACTTCTGTGCAGAGCCCTGGAACCCTCCCACATCATAGGGTCCTAGAACCTGGGCCCCAGCCTGAGCCGGGAAATCTACGTAGCAATGACACAGCCCAAGTCCCTCGAGCCCAAGTTGGCTGGCATGGGCCAGACATGGGTGTCTAGTTGCTGTGCAGAGAAAGGAGTGAGGTAAAAGACTGTTTTCTGTTTTGTTTACCTGCCTCTGTTAAGAGAATAAACCTTCTTACAGGAGACTGGGCCTGGCAGTGAGTGTTTAGGAGTGGGGAGAAGCCCTGCCCTGTGACAGAGATGTTCTCAATTCTATGCACAGAAATTCCGCTAAGCAGTTCCCATTAGCACTAATAAGAGTTGACTAGTGAAAGTTCTTTGCTTTGACAGAAGCTGAGAATCTAGTCCTAAATTAGAACTGTTCCCCCCCCCACCACCACTCTTTTCTTTTATTTTTTTCGTACTTCTAATCCACTTGCAAATATAGTTTACAGGGAATTAAGGAAATTATACTTCCTCTTTACTTAATGAGCCATGTAAATTATAGGGGCACTGACAGATAAGTCCCCCATTTGAATCTCCTTCTATAAAGTACATATTCTGTTTTAAAGTACTGTATCTCCCCATAGTGGAAAAAGCTGCCAACCTACCCAGATGGGCTACAGCATCACTAAAATCTCAGTTTCTAGGCTCGGCAACCCAACAAAGCCAGGATTGTGTGAGATGTTTTTAGGCTAATGAGCACGTGTGCACATCACTGTCCCTTCACTCTCCTTGTTGGCTTCCCTCTTTTCGCAGATAGAGGACTGAAATGATTAAAAACCCTGCTTGCTGTCTGAGCATTGTGATAAGGTCAAAAATGAATATTTCAACCTTATCAAAGTGCATCATTTTGATTTTTTTCAAAAGGACATTTTATCTAAATGACACGTTCTTGACAAAATTTTCTGATGGAAAACTCTTTTGTCAGAAACGTTTCCGTCAGCTCCAGTTGGAAGGTGTAGATTGGACAGATGCACTGGCAGGGAGATGGACTGGATGGTTAAATAGTTTTTCACATCTCTGATATTGATGTTTCTGCTTAAAATGGTGCCGAGAAATATATATATTTTTGGCAGATAATGAAATAAGAATATCTCAAGAAGAACAATATATTTTCATCTTAACCTACTTGGAGTTTGAGCCTATTTC